CTAAATTTTTTTTATAAAGTATAAGTGGGGTTAGTGTAATTTTCAAACAATTAAACATAACTTTGATAGTTCACTCATTTTACGTCGTTTACTCGTCTAGACGTCTTCTTTGTTTGAACTTTGGTTTCTGCGACTCTGCTTTCTTCACCAATCCTCACTTCTTTTCTTCCTTTGATTGCTTAGAAGTTTTGGTATATTTATCAATAAATCGATTTACTTGGTTGTCAGTGTTGAGGTATATAACAACAATTATCTCATCCAAAAAAATAAAACAATGGCTAATTTTTGTTGTAGTGTATCGCTTTAATTTCAACACAAAATCAAGCATGAACGAGACAAAAAATCTGTTGCAATGAATCAACAAATTCTACTCTAAAAAAATTTGTCTATTTCAATTAAAAATTCAATACAACAAGCCTCAAATACAAGAGAACTAGATCTTGGGGCCCCGTTTTCTATTATTGCTTTTGGTAGTTTATTTGCTATCATGATTATTGGCACATTTCTCTTGCCTTGTGTCGATATCATGACACACGGAGAAGGCTCGCAAGTCGTAGTCGTTGTACCTTCAGCAACAAATGCACACACGTATTGTGGATTTATGTATTATATTATTGTGAATTTATGTATTATATTTTGATTATGTGTAGTACATTATGTCATTCGTTACGAACTTAATAACAAAATATTAAATTTCAATCTAATTAGACAAAATTATTTTTTAATCAGTTATGGATAGATTTGTTATAAGAAAATTAACACTGAAACAACTGCCTACTAGTAAAGAAATAGACGATTTTTTGATATGAAATCTTTTTTGTTGCTTTTTTTTATACATCGCTCATATATATGAGTTGCGTATCTAAATATTATTTTTTTTTTGTGAAACTATACATAAAAAATGTTTATTAAGAATATATATTTTGATGAAAATAATGTTGCACTTATAGTTTAAATTTAAAAATTTTAAGTTGCCCCCAATGAAATAAAATTTTAGTTCCTCCCCTGTATAACTCTCTGGTTAATACCAACTATATACTAATAGAGCTGCTGCTCCAACCTAATACCCATCCCCACCCCCCACCCCCCACCCCCCGCCCCCCAAGTCGGGGTTGTGGGGCTCCTCCTTCTCCAGCCGGCCATAGGCTGCCTACGGCCCAAACTAAATTTCAGCCCTAAATTATATACTTATTTGTTTTTGCCAATAAGGACAATTATAAATGTTTTAAGTCATGAAGTACATGTATAATAGAAGGCATGAGGTATGTGGTACTGTTTATACCCAAATATTAAAAATCTGAGAATGACACGTGGAGAGATTCAATAATCAGCATGAAGTCAAAAACAAAATGACATGATAGACGTGACATCATAACCGTCGATTACAGATAACTTGACGAATGTTTAAGTATATTAAAAAAAAAAACCATGATTATAGTCATAGTCGGAAAAAATGACTTCAACGGTTAGAGGTCATCCTTTTAAAATAAAAAATGAGAGGTTACAAAAAAAAGATCCTTGATCAACAGAAAACAACACATAGAACCAACTTCTTCCTTCCTTAACTTATTTCCTGCATTTTCCCTCTACTCTGCAGTTGACACTTCAGTGATCTTTTTTTTCAACTAATGCCAAGTATAGATGATTACAAAGCTCAGTTTAATAAACCCAAAGAATGCAGGAGCAATCCAACCTTATTGCAGTCCATCTCCTTCATGGACTGGCTTCCACCAATCGAAGTTTCGCACATTTCAAATAGTGGTAAAGTGAAACCACGTAAAGAGCTCTTCCTCATTCATTTAGATTATTCAGTAAGATATAGTCCTTTTTTCTTTGTTTGAATCTTTTATAGAAGCCTTGTTGTTTACTTTATTATTTTCAATCCTAATATTTTTTATGAATTTCAGTTCGTTAAGACGCTTGAACAGGCTGTAAGGGCCGAAAGGTATCGAAATCGCCTTAGGATGATCAAGCTAACAGAGCCCTGGAAGGTAGATGGTATGTGGCTCAGAACCCAAAATTTTCACAGTACTATCAGCCGCTCCAATGACTAGGACTCAGAAGAGGTGATGGTAACGCATATTAACATACATGAGACGATGGAAGGATAACAAGAAAGACAAGTCCAAGAAGAAAGAGAAGCTTTTCGCCGGAGCTATCCCAAGTCGATGGTAATTAAATTCAGAACACGGTTCTTCGCCAGTTAGGTTTGACCAAGCTTTCGCTTTCGTTCGAACCCTCATAGCCGAGCCAAAAGGTAGTTACCTAGAACGAATGCTTGCTGATGAAACTAAGACGCTAATAGGGAAGACCTTCTTGAAGCAGATCTTGAACCGCTCAAGTCTTCCGCCTTTTTGAATCCCTAAGGATGAGACCACGTGAATGTGGGTTATCCTGGATCCTTCAATTGAATCAATTTTGGTGGATGTCGGCGTCGGCGTCAATAAGTTCGAAAAATGGTGAGCAACTTCACAGGAGGAACAAATAAGATAATGGGGTTCTTAACCATTGGGCTGGCCATGGGCAGCAAGGTCAGCATAACATCGTTCTTCATGGTGTACACTATAGCCTCCTATAACACACCATTGGGCTGAGACTAGATCCATCTAAACGAGTGCATACCATCGACCCTCCACTAACGTCTAGTATTATGGAACTAGGACGAGTTGGGAGGTGGTAGAAGCCGAGATCACATCCCATTCGTGGCTGACGTTAACATGAATAAATTTTGTATGTATTTAACTAATTTTGCACAATACAATGTACATAAGACATGAATTGGATACTGAATAATAACTTTCAAAAACAACACATTGACTTAACATGAAATCGAAACGAAATAACCAGCATCACCTTAGACGACAATTTTGACACGATATACAAGTATGACTCACAAGAATAAGAATTAAAACTCGCGTCAAAGTTCACAGTAATTACTAGATAAACCATATGATACTGCATCACAATTTCCCATATAAAAACCATTGCCACGCATGTATATTGCATTATTGGACCTGGATTAACCCCAAGTTTGTGAATTTTGTAATTGAATACAGTTAAAGTGAGATATAAAATTAAGAAACAGAAAGCAATGGCCCAGATAAACAGGATAGTGTATATCATCACAAAGCACTGGACCTCTTATAGGACTTTGAAGAAATCTAGGTACCTAGAATTTACAGTTTTTGGCATCACTATACAGTTGCAGTAACACTGGGGAAGGATGATGACTTTTTCTATGAAGATCTGGTCTCTAACCTCAGGCAATGATGATGACACCTTTGATTGTCCATTTCTTCAATTATATCCGCGATCTTAATACCCAATAAATAGCAAGAAATATCGAGATGGTTAATTTCTCGCTTGGACCCAGGTCGCGGCATTGGTACACAAGATTGCCCGATGGGTGTGGTCGTATCTTTAACCTATGCAGACTGTAATGTCACCTGGTCCAGGGCTGTTTGCTCAAACTCAGCACAAGCCTCTGGGGTGTCTTCTTCACTAGGTGGAACCAGCTGCCAAAAGAGTGACAAATATCTGTCCCACTCCTTTAAGATAGTCGAGCCTTTGCTGCTTCCAGTTTTTTCCTAGATGAAAGTTAAATACACAATGAATTAAAGGGAATGCCTCTGACATTCGATTGCTGGCGATGCATGTTCCTAACTAATATGACTGAGTAATTATTTAAGGCCTAAAATAGCCTGACGTGCGGAACTGGTAGGGAGATGACATGCAATGAAACACACTTTTGTATTCTTGTCATCCTGTGCATAATCGCGAAAATTGAAGAGGATTTGAAGAGTAATTAAAATAAAGCTAAAATGACGTGTGTTGGGCATGTCCTCCTTACATTTGCTAATGCCATTCTTTATGTTTACCCCAAAAAAATGATGNGAGGATTTGAAGAGTAATTAAAATAAAGCTAAAATGACGTGTGTTGGACATGTCCTCCTTACATTTGCTAATGCCATTCTTTATGTTTACCCCAAAAAAATGATGCATTAATTTGAAGTACTTACGACATGGGCTTCAATAAGGTTCTTAAGCTGCATCTGGCCCACAGGGGCAACCACTCTCTGGATCTTCACAATCTCCCTATTCACCTGTGACAATTTTACAAGGTCTATAAGCCAAAAATGTGATCCAACTTGCAGGAAAAAATCGAAAACACAAGTAAATGCAGCCATAAACATCAAGTTCAACAGCAAAAATAGTTACACATCAGGGAGAGTTCATAGACTCAAACCTTGGGGATAAGAGTATCATCTTCATCAAGAATGTATGACAAACCACCGGTCATACCAGCAGCTACATTTCTACCCACTCTGTTAGAAGGGAAACAAAGTAACTCAAAGATCCAGTCCATTCCCTTCAATATATTTGACCACAATTATTAAGCCTGGTAAAGGAAGAATACTCACTTTCCAAGCACAACCACACAACCTCCAGTCATGTACTCACAACAATGATCTCCAGTGCCTTCAACCACTGCTTGAGCAAGCGAGTTTCTCACTGCAAATCGCTCCCCAGCTTTCCCTCTAACAAAAATCTGACCACCTGTCGCCCCATATAAGCAGGTGTTCCCAACTATAGTGGCATCCTCAGGGCAAAATCCAGTATCCTCAACAGGAGTTACGACCAATTCACCTCCAGCCATACCCTTAGGATTTGTTGCTTATGTCAGACAATATAGAAAGACAAAAACATTGAACAGAGGATATTACTCAACAAAGCCTTAATCCCGAGATAATAAAAAATAATATTAGAGTTAATTATTTTTATTCAAAGATTGATAAAATTATTTAGGATTAATTACACTAAAGGTCCCCCAAAGAATAGAGTTTGTCTCATTTTAATCCTCAAATATTTCAATTACATCATTTTGGTTCTTGAAGTNTAAAATTATTTAGGATTAATTACACTAAAGGTCCCCCAAAGAATACAGTTTGTCTCATTTTAATCCTCAAATATTTCAATTACATCATTTTGGTTCTTGAAGTATTACATATGTTTCTATGCAGTCTCTCAAGCAGACAACATCGATATTGCTAACGATTTTTTCTCTTAAACTTTGTCACGTGATACCTAAATATGGGCAAAAAATAATTTGGATAGCTCTTGACCAAATATGTGTAATTTGAGTAGTTCTTGACCAAAATTTGGATACCTCAAGATCAAAACTGTATAATTTAGATAACTCTTTGACCAAAATTTGGGTAGAAATTTGATCAAGAGCTATCCAAATTATTTTTTTGCCCATATTTAGGTATTACGTAACAAGTTTATAGCCAAAAATCGTTAGCAATCTGAACACTGTTTACTTGAGAGACCATATAGAAATATATTCAATACTTTAGAAACTAAAATGATGCAATTGAAATATTGGGAACCAAAATGCAACAAATCTCATACTTTGGAAACCTCCAATGCAATTAACCCAATTATTTAATACATATTTAATCATCAATGCTGTGGCTGAAAAGACTATACGACATTCAAACTGATGAAGCCTGTATAAAATTTAGTTAATGTATTTCCCATCCTTGGAATACAGCAGCTAAACCTCACCAGCAATATAACTGAAGAAAAAGTAAATGTACTGAAAAACTCCACATGCATCAGATGGGTCAACAAACCTTTCCCACATAGTCATTTGCTTCACCTANAGCAGCTAAACCTCACCAGCAATATAACTGAAGAAAAAGTAAATGTACTGAAAAATTCCACATGCATCAGATGGGTCAACAAACCTTTCCCACATAGTCATTTGCTTCACCTACTAATCGGATGTTCATCCCAGGTGTCAGAAAACAAGCAAACGACTGCCCAGCACTCCCTGTAAATCTGTAGACAAGAAAATTCATCATTACTCAAATTAACAAGGTCACATTTCAGTAAAAGGATCATATTTATAGCATTGTAGAAACCTTATGCAATTCAATGACTTACGTTATATTCAGCTGCCCAGCAAAACCAGTGTCACCATATTTCTTTGCAACTACGCCTGCTATACGCCCACAAACAGCACGATCCACATTGTAGATTTTGACAGTCTTATTGACCACCTTTTCATTCTCAATTGCATCTGTTATCTGCACAGATAAAAGAATTCCTTAGATCATAGATAGACAGCAAACCAGATTACTGATGCATAGAAACCAAAAGGCAAATAGATTAGTACACTTTTCAGTAACAAAGTTTCGAAGAATTTAGGACAACCACAGGCAACAACCTTGTTTAAAGTTAAAACTCGTGGAGGAATTAATATGAAATTTCATTCATATAAATCATCATTCGAATGTTAATTAACAAGTCCTTTAGTTTGTTTACAGCCATAGCCAGATTTGCAGAAGATGTTGTCCAGCAGTTGCCTACTGCTGAAAAGCAAACAATTATTGTAGCATGAGGTCCTGCTATAATTGATGCCCAGAAAATACTAAGGTCACAATTTTTGTCTCCTAAGGATGCAACCTATAACTTCTTTGACAACAACGAAATTCTACACAGCGCCACTTTACTTAGATTGAGACAGATCTATTAGAATCCAGTGCTCCTGATGCCAATTCAGACAAGAATAATTACCCTAAATGAATAATTTATTGAAAAAATTTGTAAAACATCATCAAGCATTTACTATGTTCAATTAAGGAAGTAACTAATGGTAAGGAGAAAATGGTTACCACTGGATCTGAAAGCAGGATGTCATCCAGAACAGGACCATTACTATGAACATCTTGATTCCTGATTGTTGTGCTGCTCCATTTTGGTAATCCAACATTCTGGAAACAAAAGGCAAATTGATTGGTATACAAACAAGGCCAGGTATTATAACATGATGGGCAATACACATGATGTGAGTAAATGTCTGAATACATACAGAAAGCACATTACTAAGGTCAAGATGCTGGGTTTTCATCAGTGAGATGTCTCGAGGTCTTAGTAGATCTGTGCGCCCAATTACATCATCTAGCTTCTCGTAGCCCAACTGTGCCAACATGCCTCTTACCTAGCCAAAGATCAACAAGCAAGGATCAGCACATGCACAAAAGAATGTGAACTTTAAATTAGAGGCTTAACCATCAAATATAGTAGAAATAAATTGTAAGGGTGCTACCGGAGATATGTATCATCATTATTTTTCAATGTAATCAATAAATATATTTTGGCATAGATTTTTGAACAAACAACCGAGCATCAATCCCAATCAATTATTATTGAAGTGGGGGGGGGGGGGGGGGA